ATATAAAAAATAAACATAACACAATAAAAAAATTAAAAAGATTAATCTACAATTAAAATTAAATATATCAAAGCCAAAAGACAAAAGGAAGTGCAAATGGAGTTTGGGTTTTCAATGCAGGGGACAACTCGGCAGGTCGAATCAGGCAAGCAGCAGCGGCAAGCGGCAGCACTGGTGGCAACGCAGGCAGCACCAGTGGCAACGCAGCACCGACGACAAGGCAAAATCAGTGCAACGATGAAGTTCTAGAGATGGAGATTCTGCCGTCGCTGGAGAAGATGAACAACTAATTTTAAAATTCTTTATTATCATCCATAATCTCAGAAGAATTTTGTTTCTAAAATAGTTCAAGATCGCACGATCTCACGATCTCACGATCTCACGATTATGTGCGCGATCTTCGATCGATTCTTCGAGACCCACGATTTTTGTGCGATTCAGATCGTTGAAGCCCTTTAACATCGTAAAATCGTGCGATCTTAGGATTTAGATCGCGATTTTAACAACCTTGGTTGTCTTGCTGCTTGAGCCCGCGTACAAGCAGAACTGCAGAAGATAAGGAAATTTCAACTTCACCATGGGATGGCGAGGAATTTTCAACATTATCACCATCATCTTCATTATCTTTTTCAACTTCAAAGGAATCGGTACTGTTTTCTTCTACCTTCATGTCAAGGATTTTTCTGCTGACATTCTTTTCATTTAAGGGGAAACTCCAAGGCACTTCTGACTGAATCATTTTTGATATCTTCTTAAACATGGTGCTCCAATTGTCCAACACGGAAGCCATTATGGTTGGCTGCTTCACTGCAAGGTAAAACATATAATCCGAAAGAGGCTTGCAAATTGGTCTGTAATTTGTCCTATTCTCAGGGGGGTTGTACTCGTTATCCTCTTGGTAACATAATTCAGTGGCTATATGCCACACTAGAAGGCTTTGGGTGTAATCTAAATCATCAAGCATTTTCTTCTGCTTCCTATTCAAGACACGCTCCAGAAGTTTTTTACCCGTTTCCAACCAAACTTCATTGATCCGTGTATCCTCTGGAAAATCTTTCACTTCGTAATAGATGAAGCGCCAGAGTAAGGTTTCGAAATTCTGAGAGGACTGACAACAGAATCCTTTAATGACTTTCAGCGAACTCCTCAAGTGAAGAATATCAGCCAGTTTGTTCAACCAAACTGGCATACCCTTGACATGGTAAGTTAAGCAATTTAGCTGGGAAACTTCGTTACACCACCTGCGCTGCCTTTCGATAACCTTGGATGCAGCATCCTTCTTTACTGTATCCTTGAAATGAGCAATGGCATACCAATCGGAGTATTTAACGAGTAACATGATAGATAAGGAATCCAATGCCAAGGCCGCAATTAGCAACCCATAAGTCAGCAACATGTCAAATTCCCACAACTGGTAGTGCCACTTAGCCAAAGAGAATGTAATTATGGCTAGCAAGATGCAACCGAAATTAGCTATACGGAGATTAAATCCACTCTTGCTGTCGATAACGGACAACTTGGTGTGAAGAACCTCATACAAGAGGCTTAGCTCAATCTCAAGTACTTGGAGCACCTCATGACTTCTTCTGATGGTGAGAAGTGTACCTCTAATTCGCTTTTGTTCTTCTATCTTTAGAAGAGGGCCTACAAGTGCACTCTTTATATTGCCAAATAGTTGAATCGTAGTTCTCAATAATGATTTACTGTACCCGTATCATGGAACTGGAGGTCCACCGTATCATGGAAACTGGACTGGAATAGAGGCGATAAGGCAAGATAGAGCTGCAGCTTTTGAAGCAACAACGGTGAGATTCCTGCAATTGGAGCATTAGAATCAAGAGATGAAAAGCAGTTGAAACTAGAAATCGATTGAGGTGTTCAAAGAAATGAATGGGTGGGGTTATTGCCACAGCCACTAATGTTAATGCCACAGCTTTTTTTAGTTATTTGACTATTATACCCCTCATTTTGAATCCAACTTGCAGCAGTCATCACCTTCTCCGTGTGGGTTAATGGTCAATTAATTAAAAAAGCTGTGGTATTAACCTTTGAAGCTGTGGCAATAACACCACCCAAATGAATGGGAAGGAGATAGAACGGCACAGTTGGAGAAGAATAAATGGTTTAGGACAGATGAGTTTTTCATTTAATAAGGGGTAGATTGGTCATAAAGGAAAAAGTAAAAATCTATCAGTTGAAATTAACGTAAATTAAATGATGTCAGTTGAAATTAAAGTAAATTAAATGAGAGTTTCACACTTAATATCTTAATTAATGCTTCATATTTATATAGGATGGAAAAACTATAAATAAATAAAGAGTTTTTAAAAGACACATAATAAGCATCATTCATTTAATTAATTTTTGCATTTTTGTAAACCTATATCATAAGATTACATGTTAAGAAT